AAACATTTCTATGTTCAGTCACGGGATATTCAACTCTAGTTTAATTAAACTTAATTAAAGTGCAATTCTCCATTGTATTGCATTGTAATTGAGTTTAATTAAACTCCAATTAAAACGCAACCCTATATAGGAACGCGTTTTAATCGAGTTCATATCGCAACTATATTAAAAGTTAATTCAACTATATTAAAAGTTAATTCAATGGTGGCTCCACAATTCATGGGACACCTGTATGTGTGTGTGTGTGTGACGGGGGGTTATCACTAGACGGTAACTAATCAAAGAACATTAAGAGCAATGACGCTTGTGATCCAAGTAGAACAAACTAAGCGATACACTTCTCACAGCGACTCATCTGTAATGATTCAGTAAAGACGAAATTAATTTAGCATGAATGGAGACAACCATATTTACGAGCCGTTAAATACAGACTCGGGTATTTTAATAATGCACGAGTCAATTGTGAGGAACTGCACCATTACCTTATCTGACCCATTCAGATAATGTTAATTTCCTGGGTATTCTACATCGGAGTTTTGTTTTGATTTTAAATCTAAATAATTAAAGTTATATTGCTGAGCACGTGCAATATATCATAGACGGGTTAATTTCATAAACAAAAGCCCAGAGAATGTGGAAATGAATAATAAAAAAAAGACATTTTACGATGTGTTTTATTACAATAATTACAATTTTAACAAAGATAATTTTGTTTTACTCAACATATTTTTTCATTACTTGAAACTATCGAAGATTCACATGTACTTCTAAAACGAGGCGAGACCAACTGTGACGATTCTTTTAGCCATAATGTATATGTATATTCTTTCAGCCATAATTTATATGTACCATATATGTAATGTGTATTGCTTCTTTGCAGCGGGCTCATTTGAAGATGTTTTATGGAGTTGACACATGAATATGAAAGTCGGTTGAAAAAAACAACTAATATTACAATATTATGTGTTAACAACACGAGATGTATTAATAATATTGGCGGCATATAACAACATAAGATATCGTAACAACATCATAATTTGCTTTTTTAATGTCTCGCATATGATAATTATGTAAAACCGTACAAAACTTTTCAACTGAAAAGAATGATAATTATGTTTTTTTAATCAGCCTGAAATAACATGACTTATTTGCAACAACAATAATGTTCGAGTCCATTAGCCCATTTCCACCTTAGTCTATGGTTTCGTATACGCTGCAAATGTAGATGATTGCAAAACATTATATTAGATGAAAGATACAAAATTGAGGCAAACATGTCGCCTGTTCTATCACCACAAATTGACGGTGAAGAGAATAACCCAGCCTATTGACAATATAAATAGAACACGCAATATTCAGTGTATTCTCGTCAATATAAGTGCCTCGTTGCCTCGGGGGTAACAACCATTCTTATCATCTTATGATCAGCGTCGGATTCCGTGAGAACGAATGCTAAAAGTCGTGTGTAATTTGAATAGACGTACATTCCTTCATCATGTAATATTGACTTAAACAGAGAGCTCAGCAATAACTTGAAACTATTTCTTTTTACGCCGTGGTTCCTTTATGCACTATTGTAATATGGAATCAGATTTCGAAGTTAATTGTTCAATCTACACAACATAATAATAATTAATTGATTTCTATGATGGCATTTAGATTGGGTTATTTATCAATTGACGTCAAAATTGTGCAATAAAACCATATTACTTTATACCACTTACGGCCACGTGAACCATTGTTCTAAGTGTTCATTTTATTACCGTAACTATAGTACATATGCAAGTTTACATTGATATTTAAATAAGGTAACTTTAGTTTTATGAATAGACATAATTAACATAAGAATACAACTGTAACTGATATGTTATTTTTCCCACCACTCACTTATAATGAACATTGTTTTCAACTTTCCACTTTCCTCTACACAATACATTACCGTGCAAATTAGTAGTTCTCACAAGGAAGCAATATAATGTTAATATGTCAATTTTCTGAAAAGTTAATTTCCTGAAATGTTAACAACACTGTATTTCTGAAGCTCCTTTTATATATTTGATAGATTTGACAAAATAGATGTTAAAAAGGTAAATAACTCATTGGGCATTAATAAATCAATATTTTTATGGTGTTTTATGGAGTTATTCTAAACAAAACGTGTATACATTAATCATGTGTGATAAGAAAATAAGGTGTTTGTAAGTGAAATTATTGTTATTAGCAAAAATATAAAAAAAACATTGCTGAAAACTGTGTTTAAAAGGTATATCAGGGAGATAGGACAAACATATGAGTGCATCATTGTCGACTGTTGACGCATGTTTTTATTTCATGAATATAGAAACACTCTTAACAACATATCAGATGCTCGTCCTATTGATTAGCTCGTTATCAAGTATATTCTTCAAGGGGTCTACAAATATAAAATTGTTGACGTATTTATATCTATTTAAGTTATTTGAACTTTCGAAGATTATCATGTGTAATTATATTTAGTTCACTAGTACTAACGATGGAATTGTGGAATACGAATGTAGAGCGTTCACAAACAATAAAATGAACTTTGAATCTTTACGCATAGACACAAGATGTGCACATTTGACCGGGGAGAATGTGCATAATGACTGTCCAATTTACTTAGAAATAAATGTTGAAAGGAGATTTCGACTGATAGCTATTAATTTGGATATTTTTGCGGGCAATACATCACAGAATACGACATTTCCCCTCCAGTGTGCAAGTCAATTAATCACTAGCTAGATATGATATATGGTTCTCATCATTACTTTCACTTAGATAATCAAATCATTAATTATATTCAATTTGAAATAGTAATGTCTGCTTTTGATCTGTGACCCCTTCTAATAAAAAACATTCATTACAAGAAGACACCCAGAGAACACAGTATCCGCCACAGTTACAGAATACTTATACTCTATCAGACATATCTCTCTCAAAACCAAATCGAGTGATCCTTGTCTCCAGGGAAACTTCTTCTCACAATTTCCTGACAATTCGTGCACAACTTTTTGAGATAAATTATGAATACCTCATACAAATCACGTCTCCATGGCAATCAGATCGAGATGTTTTTCCTAATATACAACGGGTTGTAATTTTTTGGCTAAAGGACAACTTCCTCTAACAATAGTTGTGAACAGACATCCATTGAGCCTCAAGTAGCTATGTAAACGATGTATGCGTATGCTCACAGTTTCTATAACTTCATCATTTGGACGGAAAACTAAATTGGAGTAAACAGCGACTACACTGTCGGATTACATTGATTTGAATACACGATTGTTGATACGATGAACTATGCACAAGTTGAAATCCAGTTAATGGCAGAGAAGTTGAAATAACCATAAATCCTTGTACACTCGTCATCTAGAGGAAATTACAAATCGAAGAACACAATACAAACGACTGAAACAAATTTACAGAACTATCCACAAGAACAAAATAATTGACTTGTCCACAACGCTACATAGTCAAATCAGTAAGAAAAAGATTGCATTGTTGTCTGGTCTTTCGAATTGAGTGAGCACATTCTGCTCTACATGCCACACCCGTCATATATTATTTTGACATATACACCACAGTCCAGAATAACGAATAACGAACAATACACTGGCACACAAAAAAACTGATAAGTACATAACGGGACGAGAAATCTGTAAGAGAAAATATATGGACCTCATGGTAAACACGATACCTGATGAAAAATAGTGAGCACATCATGCGCCACCCCCCCATATATTTTTCTGAGTCGTAATTGAATGTTTTTTGTTTGAAAACTAATGTTTACACCAGACAAATGATATTGAAAACGTTTTTGTAACAAACTTATTCGTATTTATCTGCAAGCGTATTAATCAAACAGCACAACTGTTTGAATGTTAAGGCTAGTCGCTCTCTATATAATCCTTGGATTAATCATCCTTTTAGTCATACTGGTAAAAACTGATCTTTAGATTCACATTTACGACACAGATGTAATTAAGTATGAAGCAGAAATGTACATTCGCATTGATGTCAAGTTCAACTTTATATATCATTGGAACATAATCACTAAAAATTAAGGATTATTGATGGACAGTACCTATATATTATCGGTATGTGAAATTAAAGGAATTTGCTTACTTGTATATTTTCACCTAATTTATGTAAAAAATGTAGTTTCATACACATAATAAATAAATCAGCCAGTAACGAAGTACAATTTCGTGCTATTGAAATGTCGATACTTTGTTAAAAAATAAACAATTCTAGCATAAATAGATCTTAATAGTTTTAACAACTCTTTGATTGAACATTTTGGATGATCCAGCGAGACATAATGAAGAAATCATAGTTTCATAAATGATTTCAATTATTTTATTATTGGTTTTCTTATTTAATTCGAAACCCTACAAGTTTTCTCAATTTCACAGATTTTCACAGATCCTCTCCAAATCCTCAAACCTCTAAATATACAGGGTTTACAATATAAGACTCGAGTTTTACGGTTTTGAAAAATAGAATGCCAATGCAAACTTCAACAGCATCAGAAAACAAAGATAACAAACACAACACAGTATAAAACAGTCAATGTAAAGACAGGGCTTCTAGTTCAGCCTGAGGTTTGAGTGGTGCTGATCGGAGAGGCTCAAAGGGAAGTCTGCTTAGAGCGGCCAACACAACCGATAAGTTCCAATTGGTTGGTTCCCTCATTCGGGGTCCAGGCCTCTGATTCAACAGTAAGACAACCGGCTAGCCTCGTCCCCAGAGAATCCCAATGGTGGGTGACAAGGCTGACCTATAGCCAACAATTGCCGAAAGGACAAGTCCATTTTGTCCAAAAGAAAAGTCAGCTGCTTGGCCAACAGAGGGATGGCATGGATCTCCCTTCCACTACACCAATCAGTGTACGAACGTAATTTCGAGGCGTAGGCTGTGTTGGTGGGATCCCTGTTCGCCCTGGCCAGGACATTTGGCAGCCCACTCAAAAAGTCTGAGTGAGTCAACTGAGAGCCTCGATGCATGTAAGTGGTACATCACTGGGCTCAAAGGCAGTGCGCCGTCCGGTTGGGACAGCAGATCTGGAAGTCCGGAAGAACTCCTGATGTTTCGACTAACATTTCCAACAGTAGTGGAAACCAGACCTTGCTTGGCCCATTGGGTGCCACCTACGTCAAAGTGCAGATGAGCTCCTGTCAAAGTTTCTCCAGTACCCGGTGAACAGCGGGAAGAGAGGAAAGGCGTACACATCCCTGTGGGTACACGGGGTCAACAAAGTGTCCCTGACCCAGGCTCCTGTAGTCGGTAGGAGTGTTGTGTTTGTTGGGAGCTTGGCGTTCCGGGTGTGGTGATTAGGTCTAACCTTGAACCATCCCATCGTTGAAACAGTCTGGAGGCTATCCATTGGGGGTATCCGCCACTCCACTCTGGAGGCAGAGCCGCCAGTAGATGGCGTCTTCTTGACTGTTTCTCGTCCCTGGAAGGTCGTGTGCGGCTAGCTCCACATGTATTCCAGGTACCAAAGGAGAATTTGCTCCGCTAGAACTGACAACAATGGAGATCTGTTCCCCCCTCATTGTCGCTATAGGAGACCACTGCTGTGTTGTCCATGCGAAGCAAGACTCTGTGGTCTCGAACTATGGGTTGAAGGGGAATCAGTGATAAGCACACTTCTTTCAGTTCAAGCCAGTTGATATGGCAGCCCTGAATCTAATGCAGGGGCCATATTTTCCATTAAGCTTGTTCGTCCAATAGGTGCGCTCCCCAATATGTGAGGGAGGCATCTGTTTCCAGAGTCATAGCCGTGGCGAGTTGGAGCCATGCAAAACTCGAAGGGGACCACCCTGCACTCGACTACTTGGCCCAGCTGGGCGAATCGAGGGAGTCGCTGCGGGTAAGTATTGCTCAAATCTAGTGAGGCTAACCAGTAGAAACAGAACACAAAGAATAATACTGGGTCCCCTGGTTGTGCCCCGAACAGGTGCTGGTGCCAGGGGGATGGAGATTGCAGGGGAATCTTGTAACCGTGTATCGCCATCTGGAGAGTCCAAGGATCGGTCATGCTCTGCCTTCAAACCAGAATACACCGACACAATCAGTGCAACAGATGTGTGGGTTTGGCGGTTCCACATCAGGGGTGATCTCTCCTCTGTCGAGGTGAGACCCTGTGAGGCCTGTAGAAGTCAATAGGTTCCGACTCTGCCTCCCGCCGAACATATGCTCACCCCCTCGTCGCAAATGGGACCATCAAACCTGCTTTCCCTGCATGCTGGGTAGGCGACCCCCGAGGAAGAGGGGGCCCACCACCTGGTTCTTCTTCCTGGGGGCGCATCACCACTCTTCTCTCCCTCGGAAGAGTTGGGACGCTTGCCTCCTGGCTACTTCTGGTCAGTGGGTGCCGACTTTGGTCGTTACTTTTTCTCAACTTGGGGTCCTTACCACTTGCCCTTGGCAGAAGCCAAACTGGCTCGCGGGTCTCACCTGTACCAACTGGTCAGTGGGATTCCGAAGCACCGAAATTGCTCCTTCCATCCTCAAAAAAAGAGGTCCAGCCTGCGTAGCTGAGGCGCCCAATGAAATCAGCCAAAATCGCAGTCTGCTGTACAGAGGCATCCCCTGCCACGAGAGCCAGATGACACTGCGAGATATCCCACGTAGCCGTGTGGTGTCAATGGCTGTGTCCAACCAATGGCTGTGTCTGCTGTTCTAAGAGGCTGGCCGCCTTTGAGACTTCAGAGTGCTGGCGACGCGAAACAATGAGTTCCAGTGGGATGGCCACAACTCAAAGGTTGAGGGTCCACACTCTGCTCTCAGTGCATGGATTGTTTCCGACTAAACATTCAAAATATTCCATGAACGCGACCACCCCCTTTGACGGTTCCACCGAATCAAAAAATTCGTGGTACCGGGGTCGGGGAGAAATCGAAGGATCCTATCGGGCGCGAGATTTGACTCCAGACTCTGCTGGCCCCGGTCTCAAACGATGCTCGATTGGGTAGCACTTGGTCCAGCGGAAAGGATTTAGCATAAAATTGCCCTATCCTAAGGACTTAGGACTCTATCCCGCGGGGACCAAGGTCCGCCTATCAACACCAGGGCTTTACCACGAGTAGAACATAAAAATCCATTGATTGTTATTGTTTGAAATGGTCATTATTGGTGTGAAAAGAGTTTATCTAGAGAGCGTTTGGCCTTGTGTTTTATAGGCTTAACCACATAGCTATCACCCTGTTTGACATACCAAAGCAAACCATAACATTAAAAAAGTCAAGGATTTTAATATAAATCAAAGCAAAACATAGATTATTTGCTAAATTAAAAAGACAACCCTCTAATATCGTTCTGAGTGAGCAGTATGTAAATCACCGTAATCGGCTATCAAAATAACTGAAATACGCACAACAATCATACTGTCAATGCTAGTAACAATAATAAAACCTGGAGCATTATCAATGAAGTTTTAAACAAATCCTCTTCTGGGAACATTGCTCTGAAAACACAACACAGTTATTGGTGAATCCCTTCAACTCGTACTTCACGAATGTTGGTATTGCTTAGCTTCTAAAATAAAATGTTCAACAAGTTTCAACAACTTGAACTGGCCCTCTGCTTAAATTACAAAAAAAAGGTTAGTCCACGCGTCCACCTTTTCCAGAAACTACGCATTCTGGACATTTATAAACTTAATATGTTCACAATCGCTATGCGCACACTCTTAAACGTTATATGCACGAGTTACCCCATACCGACAATACACGGTCAAAATTCAATGATGAATTCATTGTACCAGCTGGCAATCTCAGAATTACCCAGAATTCATTGCTGTTCTCAATAGTGCATCTGTGGAACGACCTACCATATGCTATCAAAATCCTAAAGTCACGTTCGAAGTTTGTACTTTCTCTTAATTCTCACATACTGTTCGTGATATTTATCTATTTATTGTTGATATTTATGTTTACATAATGATAATATTTGCGTAAATATCTGTAAAAATTATATTACTTACAATATATATATATTTTTTTTTTCTTCTATTTTTTCGTGAATTTTAGTTACTAATTTCTCATATTTATGCGTATCTCGAGGATTTCGTTGGATTACCTTACCATGCAGAAGACTATATCACACAGTCCAACCGGATATTCCGAATCGTCTAACTAAAGAAAGGTCATATATTGACAAAAAATCTCGTGTACTGTTATATTGTCGTGTTGGATCACACTAAACGCAAATTTGTCACGCTTATTTCATACTACAAATGCTGCATTTACCTCATTTTAGGCTGACCACGTGGATTCCCCTTTGAGGCAATATGGCGACAATGATTGTGATACTTCTTCGTCTCTTTTATTGGTTTCAGTATAGACAGATTCGAGCATCCTATGATCTGCCACAGGGAACATAGTCTCGCCATTCATTATCAACTTTGCATCTACGTGACTGAACAAATGAGCTAAAAGCTAAAGAATATTCCAATCAGAAATATATGAATCTATTTTGAGTGAGATTGAGCACGGATTATATAGAGATTGTAGTGCTAATTTGATTCAGAAGCACTATTTTATTCTATTCGTGATATTATTTATCGGGGTTTGGCTAAAATAAGACTATGAACATTTGAAATCGAATATACGACAGTATCTGTATTCGACCTACGAATTCTATTATTGCGCACAATATTAAAATTCTACGCAGGAGTATTTTGACAATACACAGACACGTGAGAGTAACATCGTATTTCGCTCCCCATCTATGTACATTCAACTATCGGCAAAAATGCATTGTGGGTAATTCTGAGTATTGCATCTTGATTAAAAGATCAGGTTATTGCAAACAGTACTATTTGTGCGATGAAAAAAACGATAGTGTAATCATCTTTACTATAGGTTAATCTAGGACGCGGGTGTTTTTTAGTGTTTCACATATGTTGTTGTCAAAACAATGTTTATTTAAATACGCCCAAATTTACTCAAAATTATCGGCATTGCCTTCCCTGTGTTTTCTTATCAGTCGAGTACCTTGTTAAATACTACACAGATTTGTAACCTGCAGTCTCTGTTTGACTGTAGTCGTTATTTAGGGACGCGTAACGAATGAGACGCACAGTTGCAAAATAAGCAAGCCGTTCGTTAAATGTTTAAATGCGCCTGTAGCACGTTCGAGCAAATCCGCCAGGTTTTCTTCAGCTACTAGAAGTACAATGCTCCATCTATACTAAAGTTTTCTACAGCCTTTTTTAACAAGTTTTTTTTTTCATTTGAGTTGCAGAGAGGCCCGGCGATCTAATTAGTCGTTACGTTTTAATATAATGCATATGATTTGATGGAGCGTTGAACATTATTTTCATCTTATCAGATAGATTTATACCGCATGCAGTCATATCATGGCTCCTCGTTATTGTGCCAGCGATGCGTGACGTTCAGTTAATTTTACTTACTGAAACCGAATTGATTGATATTCAATGCACGTAAAATCTTTGTTTTTTTAACTAAACAGGCAGTGTGAAATACTTAGAGCATTTTAGAACATTTCTTATTATTTGTATTTGAAACATTATTTATCGGGAAATACAACAAATATTTGTTTTAGCTAAAGTATATACAAGTATAAGTTTTCGTGCGATATTATACTGATAATACGAGTTTGTAATTACCTGTCTGTATATGTAAATCTAAGACTCGGAATTTTGCCAGTGTTTCATATTATATAGATAGCAATGTAGGAATTCATTTAAAAAAACCAAAACAATTTTGTTTGAAACGATAGATCAGTTATTATTTACTCTTGCAAGACATAAAAACTAAATTATTTATACTAAAATTTACTAAAATGTTTGTCTATCAATTATTGTATGGTATGTAAAATATTGAAAAAGATGCTACATGGAAATAAATTTCATATATATATATACATGCTGCGAATCAATGCCAGTATCAAATCGGTGCCCACGTTTTCAGAAAATGTTTCATTGAATTAGCAACAGAGGCTGGTATGTACTCTAAACATCGGTTTTATAAGGCAGCACATCGTTTATAAAAGTGATGTTTGCCTAACAAATAATTAGTTCAGTGTTCGAGGGAATGTTATTTATTGTTAGAACGTAAACTATACATTACAATACGCAACATTGTAACAATAAAACATACTACGATAGGCGGATAATACAATACGTAAACGACACAGAGTAATACGTTGTATCATATAATAATTGTTGTAATAGATGTGTAATTACGTGTCTACAATACAATATATATAAATTAGTGCATGACAAATTGATAACAAGATTGGTTAAGTGGATCAATTATGACTAAGGCTGTTATGCAAAGCATCAAACCACAACCAGTATGTTTGTTTAACATATATTACTTATCTTGATAAAGAAATAAACTTTTCGAATAAAACACTTTACGCATTAAACACCTTGATCAAATACCCTCAATATTTCAATTCATACGGATTGTATTTGACAACATGTTATAATATATATAGTTTATTTGTATTTCAAAGCCTCCGGACCATACAGAAACTATGACACTTAAAATGTCGAAATAAATATATACAAAAATTTTAATTACATAAAAACATTGTGAAATATACAGGAAGGAATAATCACGATGAAATTTCTTGTATTATATGTCGTGCCTTAAAAAATTAAAGTACACAGGTCACGTAGTATACGAGTGTTTGGAGAAGGTAAATCATTCGGATGCACTATGAATTGATGTGATATGAATTGCGCTCTTATCAATTGATAGTAACAGCTACTAAATTACAAATTTGATAAAATCTTTCAATGCCTTCTTGTCTGCCCTTTTTAATACCCGGAAGGAGACAACCACAACGAGACACGTAAGCACTTTGATAAATTGAAAGTCATAGTTTAAAAATATTTTTCAGTCTCTAATGGCCTTTTGAAACTTATATGTGCGTAGTTTTGGTTTATTACACGCGTTGTCCAACTACTGTTAATAATAATAAAATAAGAATAAATTATAAAAATGTTGTGTGAACTGAATATCCATGTTTGCAGAGTTTATTAGCATTTAATTTTTCAATAAATAAACTAAAGTCCTAACTCCTCGTGTAGTCAGACATATACCATTATCAAAGTTTTAATTTACCGTGGGAATTAACGCCGTGAAAGATTTGAGAAA